GGAAGCGTCTAACTACAGTCGTCGAAAAGGAAGGCAATTTTTTTGAATAAATTTACTTACAACTTCCATATGTTGCGAAAGAAAATAAATCGCACAAAATTCATTGCTAGAATAACTAACTGGTGTATTTTTTCTCAAATATGCCATTTACTGCAAAAATTCGTCACGCACCCTTTATATATTATTTTCCATGATATATACAAGAACTGGCTGTGTTGGTGTTAGATTAGATTAGATTAGATTAGATTAGAACAAGAAACATTGACTCTGGTGGAAAAAGTCCGCATAATTGAGGACTTTGAAACGGGAGGCAGCACACATGATTCGCCCAGGAAGAAATACGGCATTGGATCTTCCACTGTAACCAGAATCATTCACATAAAGAGAGCGATTCGGGCAGCGGGGGAAAAATTTTATAAACTGGGGGTGGATAATCGAAATACATTAAAAGAGCAGACGTTCCCTCTACTGGAAGAAGCTCTTTTCGTCTGGACTCCAGCAGCGATAGGCCAACATTTTGTTAACGGTAGAAGCAAAATCAGAGCTGCTGTTCAAGATGCTGCAGGGATTGCGCGTAAAGGCTGTAGCAGAAGAAAAGGCATCTGCAGACATTGAAGCGTACCTAAATTTCAAAAAAATACTACTACTGTAGGTATCGACATCTCAGTTCTTCAATGCAGACGAATCTGCACTGGCAACACGCTCTGTTATTACGTGTACTGAATCTGTGGCAAGTGGACGGAAGCAAAATAAAACTAGATATACGTTCATGCCATACTCGAACATTGACGGATCTCTTAAGCTTCAGTTGCGTTTTATTGGAACTGCTGCAAAGCCACGAGGGCTTAATACAGCAGCACTGCCTGTGTCATATTGTCACTCAAAAAAGTTTGGATGACCCAGCAATTATTCCGTCAATGGTTTTATGGCAAATTTGTTCCGCCGGTGCGGAAATGTTCAACCGAGCACCGATGGTAACGATTCTCTGCAAAGTGACGAGGGGCTTAGGTTAGGTTATCTAGCTACCTCCAAATTTCACATCGGAATGTCACGTGATGGACCAATCGGTCATCAATGCAGTGAAGCGTAAATATGAGAGGAAACTTATGTTAAAGTTGATGTTGGAAAATGAACATTTGACCTTCGAAGAACGATTGAAAAAGATTACTTCAGTTGGCTACATTTAGGAGTGAAATGTCCACAAAAACCATCCGAAACTCTTGGAGAAAGCTGATCGACTAGTTGCCGGACGATCCTGTTTATGGGAATGCGAATACAGACGAGACGAACTTCAATACACTTGTTGTGAGCATCGACATTCTTGCGGAAACAACGACGACTGAACAAGACATTGATCTTTGGATGAAAGATCAAATGTATGACGCTGACCTTAATCCGGATTGGGTTACCAGTCAAATATTCACAGACGAAGATATTTTGTCATCAGTGCTTAACAAAGACCAGCCGAAAATGTATGAGAAATGGCTAGAAGAATCCACAGAGGACGGTTATAACTCTATTGATGCCTCGATTATCAATGCAGCAGGTCCAGAGGGGCCTCCCTTAGCTCAGTCGGTAAAGACGCAGCTACAAAGCAAGACCATGCTGGAAGTGGCTGGATTCGATTCCCGTCCGGTCTAGGAATTGTATCGAGTTCGAAAATTTCTCGACTTCCCTGGGCATAGAGTATGATTGTACTTGCCACACAGTTATACTAATGCAAAAATGGTACAGGCATTGAAAGCTCTCAATTAATAACTGTGGAAGTGCATCTAGAACACTAAGTTGAGAGCACGTAATAAGCTAATATGCGATAAGCAATAAGCTTGAAACGCGATGAAGAAGAAGGAAGGTCCAGATTTTAACGACGTTTCACGAAACATGATGCAACAGAAGTTTGCCGATTGAACGCTCTACGGTCAAAACTTATTGAAGCTTAATGGCTAAAACGAGCTTATTGAAGAACTATGTTTTAATTTTACATTGTTATATTAATTAAAATTAATGAAATAAAACTGCTTTGTAGTGAATTCACACGATTTAATTTCGTTAAAAAATATTTTCTTCTATCCAAATTGTTTATCTATCGGCCCCTCGAAAAGGAATCAGCACTGTCAGTAATGACGTTTAACTTCGATTTAGGGGGAGCCCAACTAAAACGTAGCCCACTTAAAGATAGCCCAACGACCGAAATTCGGCTGTATATCGAATAAATGCTGAACAAAAAGGGGTGTCGGATTATGTGCTGAAAAAAGCTTATTTTGATCGATAGAAGATGCGCGATTTCTTCACTGTTTGCTCTGATCTGTGTAATTTACTTATTAAAAGCTTTACAAACGTTGACTGCCTTCCCAATTCGTTAGCTAAAGTTTGACCTAGTAACAAACTCAATACGTTTAATATGCTCATAAATCGACGCACTAATTCGACCGTTTACAATTGCTTTATTATGCTTATCAGATGTCTAATCAATGTTTTTCTCCTTTATTCGATTGCGTTGTATTGATTGAAAATTGCTGAATAAAGGTCAATATAGTCAGTTTATAAACTCACTATACCAATAACACTGGTTTAGCCTAAGAAAAAGACGAAATCGATAGCTTAGTGTTTACCGTTACCACTTGTGCAGTCGAGTGGTCGCGAGTTCAATCCAAGACGCAACCCTTTTTAATTTTTGTCACTTCACCTAATTAATTTAAATTGCAATCACCAACGTACCACAATGAATCCATCGGTAATTGTAGAGGTGAAGAGGTAACATTGGATTCTAGTGAAACAACGATTGCATGGTTGTCAGAGCTTTTATTGTCAATTTGAGCTGATCATATTATGTTGTATTCTATGTTAGCTCAGATGGCAATGCAAGTGGCTGGTACACTATTTGAATCCCATGCAGCGACGAAGATGTATTTTTTTTGTAATATAAAGGATCAGTTCCACAAAAGTAACGGTCACAATCATTAAAAAAAAAATGCTTCCATTCTTATTTTCACTTTATTTATTATTTGGTCCGTAGTAGTCCGTCGCTGAATAAATAAATAAACATAAGAATCAAGCAAATTGCTGTTTAAGGCAGCAACGAAGTTAAATAAACGCTGAACAATTAAAAATTTGATCGATTAGGCTCTATTAAAATGTGGCGTAGTCGAATAAAAGCATTTCTATATACCTTACACAACAGAACACCAAGCAGTTCAATGTTGTGGATGAAAAATTCTAACGATTTGTGTAAACAAAGTCTGAACAGAAGTACAAGTATTATTCAGCAGCATGCAGCTGAATAAAATCATCACGTTATCGTTTTTTCAATAGGCAATTGTTTGTTGGGATGTTTGAATCATTAGTTTAGTTCTATAAATAACTACTGCCAGTACATTACTTTAAAGGCACAAATGTTAGCTTCCACAAAACATACAAATTTTGAAATTGCTACTCCTTGTTTGCTGTGCTACTACAAACAGAGAGTAGCAATTTCAAATTTGTATGTTCTGTGGAACCTGACATTTGTGCCTTTGAAGTTTCACGCTAAGGCTTCCTTAGAGTATCACGGAGTTTCCAAAACCGCAAGAATTTCATACGAATTGTGAATCACATTTTTTTTTTTTTTTTTTTTTTGTCTTTATTTTAGAGATTTTTAGCCTGAGGCTAGTTCATCTCTTTGTGAATCACATCCACTCGATCATGGCACGGCTTTCTCCCGAAGAAACCGTTACCTACTGAGTCCTACCCACCGCTTTGTCTCGGCGGGTTTTCAATCAATCGCTCTGATTTTCTGTGAGTAACTAGTTCTCCATTGACATTACTCACATGCAAAAAATCAGCCCGACTGGTGGAAGAACCCTTTGAAAAACAGCGGTGGGTAGAACTCCGTGGGTAACGCGTTCTTCGGGGCAAACCTGTATACGAACAAGACAACATACCCATTTTCATTGACTGTAGATACATTGTTTGTGAAGTTAAAATAACAAACAGTTCAATGTTTTTTTCCACCATCCATCAGCTGTCGCTGCCCGTACAGTTAAAATAAAGGAAAAACAAATCGTGTTTAGATTCAAAGCACGGCATTTGCCTCTTTAACCACTGCAATCACTGTTACCTAGAGAAGAAGTGAGTCACGTCACAATAAATCAAGAATTGCTTATCTCAAACATGTGACTATTGATGTTTGTTTGATGTCTATTGATCCCCATGCCGAAGGGATTGGAAAGATGGGAAATAAACATATTTTTGTTTACCCCAAGCAGGCTATGAGGGTTTCACTACGTTCGAATCTTCCTACGCACATGACATTGCAGGATTAAGATTTAATTTCAACCTAATCTAAACACAGCCCGCACTTTACCTCATTTTTTAGAACAAGTTTGAATAAAAAATTTAATGTTTCTATCAAAGATGCCTTTTAAATATGGATTTACCTTTCCATACGTGCCGTTGAATTTTGGTAGAGTCACAAAATGAGATAGTATTAAAAAATCGAACACCTCTTCTTGATGCAAATTCCATCTACGAGTTGCAAACACATTGAAACGACATTGGATTCACTTCGGCATTCGGATGAAGGTAGACAAAATTGATTCCCTTTGAGCGCTTCTTTTGTTTTCGAGAATATTGTTTTCTTAAAGATTTGATTATGTAGGTTTTGAACTAAACTATCGTACCAAACGTATGATTGATTAATTGACGTCGAAATCATTGACATATTTGATCGAGCAGAAGATGTGACGGAAATACGCGCTCATGCCGAAGTAGTTGAATGGGGAATCAACCCAAGCATACTGTCAAACTAATCATCACAAATCGTGAAACTGTGTTTTATCAGCAGTGGGAATTTATTAGTTCAATTGCTATAGGAAATTCCTGCTTACTTTGCATCACTGAACCATTAAAATGTGATGCAACAATTTTGACACGTTGCAGTCACTTTTTCCGTTGCACTTCTATTCACTCAACAACATACAGAGAACGTTGACAACACGCCCGGTGCTTTTGATTATGCTTACCACGTCGTTCACCATGTCGCTGCTTCTGTTAATCCGCCCTCAAAAACACTAAATCGTTTTCTTATATTTCTATAGAACTGTTTAGTCGTATTCCTTCGTTTGTCACTGAGTTTCCTTTCACTAGTTTCGTTTTGCTCGATCTTTACGATCGAACCGTCGACCAAAGACTACTGATCCGCTCTGCAGGCCGGTTCTTATTTATTAACAACACCATCGACGACGACGATTGGACTGCATCAGGCTCTGGAAGTTCCTGTCTCAGTTGTAGAACTGCGCATACTCCTCACCGGACAGCTTCGTAAATGATTAATTTGCTATGTGTATTAAATGTATTACAATGTTGAGTACCTACATAAAACCTCAACTGATAGTGCTCGCAAGCTGCGCCAGCTTGAGCCACAGCGGTAGCGGATCCTATCAAAGAATGGTTCAATAAAAAACAAAACGAATCATCAGAAACATATACAAGCAATCAACAAGGCACATGGCTTTGCCAATCAGGCGCACCCGGCGTGCAACAAAGACCTAATCGGCCAGCTCAACCCAGTAGATTCGCGTTGATGAACCGCAAAACTGACATTAACCCAGTAAACATGCGCTATCGTATTCTAGTGGGGTGACGTATGTGTATGCTCCATTCCCGACAACGTTGAAAACATGTTCGATGCGGAACACTCTTGTTATAATATTACACCCCAAAGACGAGCCCCCTTTCGCTCCTATCTCTAACAGCTCTAACATGACCTAGCCAACAACAATATTCCCTATGCTCGAACGCACACTCTGAAGCCCGCGTGCTCGCCGCTTACTAACACTTCATCTCGAATACGAACACTTTCGGCGTGCGCTGGTATGTATACAATTCTGTAAAGCAACGCTAACCCGTTACATCTTTTTCATTTGTAGGTAAGGTAGTTTTCCATTAAAAAATTGCAAAATTGATAGCACCGTTCTCGTGTGATGGAAAAATATAAAACGTCATCGAAGCTGCCAAGACGCCGCACGAAATTGCTGTCGTCAAGTGGATTTTTTTGTTTGTCTCGGTTAGTTATAGTCTGTGCGAAATTTCAACCATTTCATTATCACATAGAACAAGTCATACGTTTGAAAATTTTTCAGAACAAAATGATTAGCACAACGATTAGTACAAAGCGGTAGTAACCTAAGCCCTGTGTGATTTTGTGAGTTTGTATCGAAGTAGAACTACGCAAAATACTGAGAACAAACAGATTTGATAACGATCGCGGCCCATCAATGTTTTGTCAAACTAATTTTTAGCCAATTATTTAGTGCGCAAATTTTTCTACTTGTTTATTTGAAAAAAACATAAATCAGGATTCGAAACTTCGAAGGTTATGCGTTTCGATGTCATCTGAACTTTTTTTTTAACTTTTCTAATGTTATTGATTGTGTTAGTCAATTGGTTAATTTATTGTTTTGCAAAGGTTGTTATACACTCAAATGAATCGTAGTATTTTTGTTAACGCTTATTCCTCACATTCGTAACACAAAGTTGTCTGTTGATCTTTAGTAAACGTCAAAATAGAAGCAAAAGAAAAACATCAACTCAGTGCTAACATTTGAAAACGGCGCAGTTACTGTCAAGTGCGTCAATTTTCGTCTACCATAGCAAAGCAGCTAAGAAACGCGTTATACTTTTTTTTAGTTTAGTGATAAATTCATTTGTAACTGTTAGAACGTTACATGCGTTACATACTAGTGATCTGATGCTTGTAATGCTACTTATTTATATGTTTAATCAAACTTGTCATACTTCTCCTAATTTTTTTTTTCAGAACAAAAACATGGGTTTCGAAACTAAATCCGACAATATTTAAGTAGTCTACACCGAAGCTGAGCTTAGAAAAAGCTGTGGACATGGCACGTGGAGGTGTATCTATCCGGCAATCAGCAAACTCGTTTAACATTCCGGAAGCTACTGTTCAGCGGAAGCTGAAGCAACCAAAGCAGCGTTCACGGGGGAAGCAAACGATTTTGGCTGCGGAAGAGGAAAGGACAATAATCGACTGGATTCGTTTTGCGGCAAAAGCGGGCTTTCCGGTTGATGCCCAAAGATTGAAAACATCTGTTGGATATTTTCTTTAAGAAGGGTGTCGACTACCTGGAAAAACCTAGAAAGTCAGGGAATGTCAGGGAATTCTATTTCTGGTCTGGAAAGTCAGGGAATGTCAGGGAATTTTAGTGTAGGTCAGGGAAAAAAAAATGATATTTTTGATTGATTCTAGGCAATTTAACATTGAAATTGAAACGAACCAAAATAGCCGAATTGAGTATTTTGCATTATGTTGTTTCATTTGGCTTTTTTCTCTTCCGCTTCGTTCAGAAAAATAATCAGGCCTTCCTGATTTTGTAAATGTAGTCCTTTACTAATTTTCCAGGGGTATGCTGTGGTTGTCAATTTTAATATATAACCTTATATAGCGCGTCTACCTCACATTGATTTTGGTACTTTGCTTTTTGGTACCCACTCTAGTTCGTTTACCCCAAAACTGGTGCAATGGTGCAAAGAGCTCGTTGACATGACTGTTATCAAATAATGTTTTTCGATAGTCAAATCGCCGCTAAGGTTCAGCTAGGACGTGACCTGGATATGTTTGGCATTGCTCCGTACTAACACTGCAAAAGTTCAGCTTTTTTGTTGTAGGGTTTGACGAACCCCTAAATAAAACAACAACAACAAAACAAATGGATTTGAATTCCGATTCTGGGATGATTCGAAAAACGAGGTGGCAACTCGTTACATGACGTCAAAGTTTTTGGGAAGATCCCTGGCATCAGATCTACTCGCTGCGTCCATGTGTCCATGGATGGGCCCAAAAAGGTGGCGAGAAGCTGATACCGTTCCGATTCAAATTTCGGACGATTCAAATTTCGGACACTTTCATTTTTAATTAAATATTACATCCAGTTAGAAACAAAGTAATAATGTTAGATGATCGTGGAGGGCACTAGTCAAAAAAATTTAAAATTTACAAGACATGTGGATCATATTCGACCGAGATAATCAACTTTTAAAAGTGTCCGAAATTCGAGTTTAAGTGTCCGAAATTTGAATCGGCACGGTAGATCTAGGAAGCTGTGGCTGCATATTTTGCATAATGTATTCAAGGATAGTGTTCGCAGTACCAGTTGGGGATGTTGTCAAATGTTTGCGTGGTATCTACAATATCTTCATAGATGTACCAGCAAGACGAGCGTTATTTTTCGATGTATTCCGGATCTACCATATTCCCGTTAAATTTTTGCGGCCACCTATGGCTGGATAATAGTGGTGCTGTTCAGAGGGAAATCGAAATTATTCCGCAAATACGAAAATTTATTCAAGGCGTCCAGAAAGACAAAATCGAACCAACCTCGGCTTCCTACCAAGATGTTAAAAACTGTTTGAATGACTCGCTGCTGATGGCTAATAGTACGTTCAGACTACAGAGTTATATCAGAGTTACCTCTATTGTTATAATATGTTATATCACTACCTTGATGGTGGTTTCTATGTTGCAATTATGTGACAACCGTTATAACATGTTATAACTCTGTAGTCTGAACGTGGTATTAAGCTGGCTTTCTTCAAATCAGTTGCTATCGAAGTTGAGCCATTTCTATGCGAATTTCAGACGGATAACCCTATAGTACCTTTTTTGTACAACGCGATGTCTCAAATGGTTAGAGGCATTATGGAAAGGTTCATTAATATTGATCATCTGAACAATATTGCACAGGTAAATGGCACAGGTTATTGGTCGGCGTATTCACAGAACTATTGTTGGTTTTTGAAAATGATTTGCTGCTTATCGCATGGCAACGCCAATGCAGAGAGAGGTTTTTCGTAAATGCAGAATGTCTTTTTGAAAACATGAGGGAAGAGTCAGTCGTTGCGCGATGTCAGATCTATGATGGTGTTACTCATGCAGGCGGGTTGGAAAACTTACAAAATTTGAATGAACATATTCAGCGAGTTTGAAATTCGTATTCGCTTTCCATGTAGACAAGGATCGTCGTATGAAAGAAGCTCTCGATTCCGACAAAGCGAAATTGATACCCCAGAGAGAAGCAGAAGCGAAACATCTGGAGAATAAGCGAAGAAAGTTATTGGAAGATGCTCAAAAAGAAGCCGAGAGTTTGCAGGAGAAAATTGTTCTGCTCAAATCATAAGCAGAAAAATCTATCGTCGAAACAAACATATTTGAGGTAAATTTAAACGTTTAAATTTTGTTCTGGCCACAAAAATAAAAAAGGCTTATTGCAAACTTATTCCATTTTTGAAGTCAATACAATCTATGTTGAAAATAAAAATAATGTTACGTTTATTTTAAAAATATTCGAGCTTAAAATAAACGTGAAAACATTTTGTTGTCAAAGTGAACAAGCATAAATTTTTTAATTTTAAATATGTTTTTCATTTTTTAAACAAACAAACTATTTTAGTATTTGAAAGCGCGAAAAAGAAACAGAAAATGGATAGGTAGCATATAAATAGAAGAAAAGTCTGCAGACAGGACATGTAAATTCCCACTATTTTCGGGGTCGATAAAGGGTGGTCTGTGGATGGCGTGGATGGTGGTGTTCTAGTCCGGGTTCCAAAAGGCTTGTCGGGGTGAGTGTCTGGGGGTTCCAATTCAGTGAAATCTTTTGTTTCTGACGTTGACCCTCTTTCTACGTTTGTTGTCGGGAGAAGGGAGAGGATCCGGAATAGATTCAGCATCCATTTCGAATTGTCGTTTTTCTTTCGACGTCTTGGGAAAGGGTGTTATGTGGATCTGAACTGGAACATAATTTGGACACTTCCTAGATGGGTTTTCGGATCCTTTTATTCGGTTTCACGACCATTTACTCGGTTTCACGTTTTCCGAGGAATAGTTTGAGTCAATTTTTGCCGAATGTAAACAAGGCAGGACACGCTAAAAATCGTTTACCCAAATTCTATATTGTTAAAATAAATATGCTTTTGAATTTTATCCAAAAATAAATATTTTTGTTTCAAACATGTTTCAAATTTACTTTGAATTACTCATATGTTTATATAGAGCATTTCCAGCATTTAATTGAAAAATGCAACCATTAGTAGCAGCGAACACGTGAGAAATGTTTCATTCAAATCGGAAACACTCATGTTCAACCGGTTTGCGTTTTGGGCTGGAAATGCTCTATAATGAACATTAATATTTTTGATTTAAATGGTTTAAATGGTAAAT